TTGGTTCTAAGTTTAAGGTTTTAAATAAGTAGAAATTAATGATAGTTTAACATTAGAAAATCTAACATGGCGGACCAAAATGGCTGATAATTCTGTGTAATGGGGCAAGAAGCTGCGCATCACTTGGCAGCTCTGTTTGGAGCAACATTAATTCCCATGGGGATTTCTCTCAGGAAATCCTCAGGAGCTGAGGGGAGGATTCGGTGGCCTACAGGTGTTCTCCTGCTCCAATCCAGATTCTGCCCTTCGAATGCTGCAGAACTGAGATGGGAGGCTTGATGGTTCTGGGAGAGTAGGCTGCAAAGCCATTGCACACTGCTGCAGCTTCAGAGACATAGCCTTTCTCCCCCTGCACTTTCTAATGGGGGCAAGAATCTGCACCTTGGATTGGAGTTTCTCCCTGAGTAACACATAACCCATCTACATGTAACCCCTCTGGAGCTGGTGGTTCCTGACATATTGCACTAAGCCTGGAGGGGACTTGCCCCTGGGCTACAGCAGTGATGGCTGCAGAGCTAAGGATCCCACTTCCCAGAAGGCCTGGAATGCAGGATGGGGAGATAGAACACGCTGGAAGCTACCAGCAGAGCCAATCAGAAGCCAGGACTCAGAGGCAAAGGGGTTGTTTTACATTTGGTTGTTGGCTGTTGATGGAGTGGAGCAGAGAGCGAAGCATCACAGCCTTGGAGGTGCCCATTGACTTTCCCACTCTTATCACGCAAGGAGACTTTGAACCCTACTGGTGACTACTGGGCCACATGTGTCAGCCCAGGAAAGATCAGCAACCCGGGGTCTGAGGAGTGATTCGTGGTCAGGCTGCCGAGAGCCACCCCAATTGTCCACTGGACTGTAGAGCAGGGAGCCTCAAGACCATCCCTCCCAGGGTGAAGGCCTTGTAAGAATCCCCATGTTTTTTGTTTTTTGCTTGTGAGTTTTAAGCCAGCCAACGAGTACAGTGCAGTACCACCCCACAGAGACCTGATACCCAACTCCCATTCTGCCTAGGCAGGGGCTGGGGAGAGCTGAGGGGGTTGGGCCCATGGAGGAGTCTGTTCCCCAGGCTGGGAGTTTCTGGGGGGCCAGACCCTGGGAGGGATGATAACCCGCAACCCCCATTGAAATCAATGGGAACCCAGGCACTCCACTCCCCAGAGGTGTAGCGAGTGCCCTCCGTACCCTCCGACCGGAGGACGCCCCGCAAGGAAGGGGGCCCCTAAAAGTGGCAAAAAAAAATGTAAGGTATAACTAGGTAAGTGACATTTATTGACACTATTGCACAATCCATGTCGGTTTTACTGACAAAACTGTGAAGTCATTATGATACATCATAATGCTATTGGCTACATCAGTTGTCTGTCGGTCAGTTTCGAATTTTAGTTGGACCCATTCAAAGAATGTGTATTTGCGTTCATAATGGCGGTCGGCGGATAAATGTTATTAATTTAGTTGTTTAATTTTTTATCGTTTGAAACGATTCGTTTCCAACGCAGAAGTGTGCTTTGTGATGTCTAAGAGAACGTATAAGAGCGGAGCTAGTAAACGAAAGGCAGCAAAAGATGCCGAGAAGGAACTTGAGAAAATTCCAAAGTTGTCAACGTATTTTGCGCTGCAATCCAACGTACAGGCACATGAAACAGACAGCGCTAGCAGTGACGAATCGTATCC